CAAACAAATAATTGAATATAAGCAACAATTGACTGAAAATTTCAGTGTCCAAGAATCTTGAAATTTAAGATATTAAGGATTTATGTTTCATGCTATCCCAAATGAAAGTTTTTAAAGCAGTCAAATCATTGCTATTTTATTCTTGAAGTTAAGTCAGTTCAGTGGGCTTCATTGTTTGAAGCCTCATCAAAATTCTAAACAAGATCACCCTCCTCCTCCAGCAGCAAGTTGTGCTTTTCCATCATCATCTGCCAGGGCCTGTAGTTTGTCAGTGCCAAGCTGGGTTAAGATCCTGGGTGGTATTTCTGTCAGCTGCTCTGTCCCAGCGAGGCTGAGAATGGTGAAGTGTGTGTGTGTTGCCAGATGTCTGTATGTTAGTGCATTGCAATTCCTTGGTTTGCAAACACACTAAACTTTAACATCAGATACAACTTATTCCTAATGTCTGTAAGGAAAACTAGAACTTTAGTATTTGCTATAGCAGAACCATTTGAGGACACTTCTTTCACTAATGCACAATTGTGCACAATATTGAGAGTTCCTTTGGTTATGATGTGCTCTTTTACTTGGGTGGAAATGAGACCTCATGGGGGACTAGAGTTGATTATCTCAAGGTGTCAGGCAGACTAGATAAGTAAGAGTCTTGCTTCTGATGTTGAAGCCGTAAGATCCAAAAGAAACTCAGGACAAATGGCTATGACTGGTGCCCTTCAGCATACCAAAGTCATGTTGATGTCCAGGCTCACTCGGCATCTGTGGCTCCTCTCACCCTGCCCCTTATCCTACACCTCTTCAGCTCTTGGGATTCCTTCCCCAAGCTTCTCATTCCTATATAACACTCCCATGTCAGCCATGTACCTTCCTGATCCCCTTTCTTTTATTTTCCTCTCACTCCCCACCTTCCCCTGTCCTCTCACGGCCATGTTTTGTCTACTACTTCCTCTTCCTGCACAGCCAAGGTGCCTCTGGCTGTGCTCTCCCTCATATGTTCAATAAAAACCTTCCTTTCAACCAAATCTCAGAGCGGTCATGCCCTCACTTTATACAGACATTACACTTCCAAATGTTAGGACCTTCCTCTTCCTACTTCATTAGTCCTTACAAAAGAAACATGAATCTGATTTAAATTTAATTGTATCTCTATTGAAGTTATTTTTCTTAATTTGTTAATATGTGGATTTTCTTATAAGAAACTATATCAGCATATTTTCAATAAGTTCAACTTGGCTATCAATTTTTTACAGAAAATTAACTTTAACTGGCTATCATTTTGTTAAATGAAATACGTTGTGATTTATTTTCCTATAATATCTTGGTGTCTAGGCCATGCTGGTCATAAAAGTTAAGTAAAAGAGGATTGCTATCAATTTGTCCTCATTATGACTTATTTAGAGAAGTCTCCTAAAATCTCATGTGTTGAATTCTTGGACCCTAGATGGTGTATACAACCACTGAGAAGTGGGTGGACTATAAGGTACTAACTTCCTCAATGGGTCAAATCCACTGAGGAATTCACATTGAGTGGGCAATTAGGAAGTGGGACCTGTGTGGAGAAAATAGGTCACTGGGAAGCATATCTTTGAAGGACATACTTTGCCCTTGACCCTTCCTATTTCTGTTTTTAGCCCTACTGTGGTGAGCAATGTTGTCCTGTCATACCTCTCCACAATCATGCTCTACTTCAAGTCTAGAAATGTAGCCACATATCCCTGGACTGAATGTTCTAAAATCATGAGCCAAAATACATAGCTCCCTAAACCATGTATCATAGAGGCAAAAGTTAACACAGGATTTATAAGCAGAATTATTTATACTTTCCAGAAACCTAAGCAGTATACAAACTGAAGAACTTCCAAACTAGCTACAACTTGTAGCTTACTCTGGTTCTTATACTGTAAGATACACAACACATGTCTTATAGAAGAGTTTGGGCTGCAAGTCAGTACCTCAAGTGTTTCGGACAAAGAGGATCTACTGTCATGCTTTGAGAAAAAGTACCACCATGGCTGGAGAGCCTCTACTATCACAATATTCTTCAGAAGAACTACAGTAGGATCCAAGGCACAGGATTCCACACTTCACAGAAGACACGTCCAACATCTGCAATGACTGCCTAAACTTAAGAAGTACTAAACTTTATAACTTACTGTTAGCTATGCACTTAACACGCTCTGTGGCCATAGCTTACAGCTTTAGATGAGACAGTCAAATAGCCTATTTCTTTTTCTTCACAATATCATGGATAGAAGATAATCTGTTGTTACCATAGATCTTGGCAACTTCAGCATAGTAATCTTTCTGTTTGCTTGCTAGATTAAAAGTTGTTACCATTACACTTATAGGAAGTACTCCAACGCTTTTGGGTTGGCATATCTGAATTGGCGGTCCTTATGCTTTAAGGTTGTGACATGCAGTTGGAGTCACTTGAATACAAACACTGATACCAGCACATGTGTTCTGCTGAGAAAGCTACTAGTGGAGAAATACTATATACAATACTCTGAACAAAGGGATGATTCAGGTTCTGGGTGGAACTGAGCATGAAGAACAAGTTCCTCATACTGCTCAGAATGACGCACATTTTAAAGTTTGCATCATTTCAGGGATATTCCACTTAGTATTTTTAGATTTTAGTTGACTGTGGATTAACAGGCTGCAGATAGGAACACAGTAGCTGGGAGTGGGGTAAGGGTGGGAGCTTGTGCAATAGTGAAGAAGTCAGTTATAAGGGCAAATACCCTTCCTTTTACACAGCATCTCCTAGATACCCTAGGTTTGTTCAGGACAGTCTTGGTTTATGATTACTGTTTAAACATAATGATTTTCTGTTTATTAAAAAGAGAGAAAGAAAGAAAAAATTCCAATTTGAGTACAGCTGGAGGCTCTTTTTCATAGTAGGATATGTCAGAAGCTATTGTATGGGCTCATAGGACCCAATCGCCACACTTGAATATTCTTCCCTAGTTCTAAAAATTAGGTAAAATCGAGAAATTATAGGATGGGGAAAATTATGCTTAAACCAAAGCTAAAAGTCCTTCACTGAAGTCAGTTATTTAGTTCAGCAAATACAAAATTTACACAGGAAACAAAGAGCTGTTTTGCCTATAAAGTCCATTATTTGCACAGTGTGATCATCAACAACTAGATAGGATTGAGAGACAGCATGGAAACGTCACACCTCTGGGAGTATCTATGGAGGTGCTCCTAGAGAGCTTTAACTGAGTAGAGAAGATCTACAGTAAATGTGAATGATATTATTCCAGGGGCTTAGAACCTGGACTGAATAAAAAAGGAACATTGAGTACCAGCATTCACCTCTCTGCTCCTGACTGTGGACACGTGACCAGCTACCTTAAGCTCCTGTTGCCATGATCTTCCCAGCATTATGAACTGTTCTGTCAAACTGTGAACCAAAATGAACCCTTTCCTCCTTCAGCTGCTTTTGTTCAGTATTTGTTACAGAACAAGAGAGTAACTAATACATGGTGATGATTTCATTATAAGACTTCTGGTTGGGACCACAGAGGAAAATATTACCATCCCATTATAATTAACATGTAATAAAATAATAAATTATCATTTTAATAATTATTTTGTTAAACAATCTAAATTATTTTATTATTGTGATATGTATCATTATTTTGCTATTTTTTAATTATGTCTTATTCTTCCAACACACTCAAGTTCAAATAGGTCTCATTTTGTCACAAATGGGGGAAAATAGCAGTCTGAGAACAGGGATAGTCTAAGTTCTAGTGTTTTTTTTTTTTCCTCTATGAAGTAAAGTAATATGGTTAGTTTTAACTGATGACCTACAATCAACTGGAAAAATGAGTCTCAATGAGAAACTATCTATACTTGATTGGCTTATCCACATGCTTTTGGGGGGCTGTCTTAACTTAAGGGCTGTGGTGGCAACATTCCCTAGGAGGAGGTCCTGGGCTGTGTAGCAATGGAGAGAAAGAGCTCAGCACAAGCACAGATACAGGTCAGCACGTGTGTATTAATTTATCTCTGCTCCTGACTGTAGATACGATGGCACTGGCTGTTTGAAAATTCCTGCCTCGACTTCCCTACAATGATGGAACTGTATGTTGAAATAACTCCTCTTTTCCACTAATTTGCTTTTTGTTGGCTATTTTATCACAGCAACAGAAAAGAACTAATACGGACATCTACCCTTATTTCTTACAAAACGGACATCTACCTTTATTTCATACAAAATGGACATCTATGTTTATTTCTTACAAACCAGACATCTACCTTTATTTCAGCCAAACTCACTATTTTCAGAGGTCTAATTTATACATAAAAGAAAATCATGATTAAGTAGTATATCCTGTCTCCTAAAGAACTGTTCAAAAACAGAATGCTAGCCATCTCTACCTTTTCTTTTTTGGGGGCAGGAGGAATCTCACTATGTATCCCTGGTTAAGTTCCAAACTTGGGGTCTTTCTGCTTACAATCTCCCAAGTACTAGGATTATTGTCATGACAAGAGCAGCCATTACAAGAGATTGAAATAATCTCTACCATTAGCATATTCTATTCTTCATTCATTCATTTCTCCTAAAATATATGTGAAATGTGGGAAAAAGCAAGTGTCCAAGATCATCTTTAATCTAATCTATCTGGCACTGTCTGTCATTTAACATATCACAAGAACACTAACCTGGAGGTAAGCTAGACTATGCTGTCTCAGAGGCCCTAAAACAATGTTTGAAAAATAAGAGATGTCAAAAATGCTTTAGTCAAAAATGCTTTCAACAATAGTACTTAAAATTCTGACACCTACCTGTAGACTATCCAAATAACAGGGTTCATAATGTTCAAACAAATGTTTCATCATTTCCTTTATAATACTAAGATAGTATTATATAAAAATGTAAAACTTTACCAAGACAAACTCTCTTAAACAAAATAGTAATAATTAAGCATTTAGCAAATAGAATAATGAAAAAAATGAAGTGTTTTAAAAATGACTCAGGAAATATTACTAACCTGTTGAGGAGTAATAGTATCTCTATAACTTGGCAAAATTTTTAGGGTGACACTTCCACTAATATTTTTCAGCAACTCTTGTAATTCCTTTGGATTGTTTCCAACCTCATGTCCATTGACTTCCTTAATGATATCTCCCACATGAAGCAGACCTTGTCGATCTATCATTCCTCCATGAAGGATTCGGGCGATTACCAGGTCATTATTTTCAACCCTAAATGTTACACCCTGGAGGAAATTTTATTAAAAAAAAAAAGCAAAGATTTATCTCACTAAGAATAAATATGTAAACATTTTGAATACAAATAAAATAATTCTGAAACCAGGTAAGTGAATTCCTTTCCCATGCTATTTCCTATCCAGTGTCAATAAAGTCAGTGCAACTGTGACATCAGAACACCAATACAAATGGGCTAACCCTTAAAATCCAGCTGTATTCCACAGACAAACGAAGCTTCAGGAAGCAACAGTGATTCCTGACTTGTCCTGTTTGCCACATCACTGTTTTCAGGAACCACAAATAAAAAAAAATTGTAAGACACAGTAGTTAACTTCACTACCCAATACAGCCCCTTTTACTTCAACTTTGAGTAACAACATTCTTCCTGGTTTTGGTGTTATCATTAGTAAGCAAACACATCATTTCTAAAAGGCTAGGAAGAAATGGAACAGTTTTCCTATTCCCACTGGCATATGTATAGCTTCTAAGTAAGCTTAAAGTCTCATCTGGTTGTGTTTCACAGGCTACATGACTGACAAAATAAGCACGAGCACAGTGTCAACAGCGTGTCGGGAGCTGAGACTGGGCGCACGACATTTCACATCTAAGACAGCAGTGACTCATCTACTCACCAGTGGCTCTCCAGCTCTTTTGTGAATACCAAGAATACGGATGGCATCTACTGGCAATAACTGATTATTGAGAGAAGAATTATTCATTTCTGGGCTTGAGGGAGGCGAATCATAACATTTTGATGCCACAATATCATGGGCCTCCAGGAGCGACTGTTAAGGAGTCAAAACAGCCTGTGGTTATTAGCTACTGATGGAACAAGTTGCTAAAAATAATTTATTAGTTCATTATCACTGTGGAGTACTAAAAGTTTCTCAGGACACATTAAATTCCCAGTATGAATTACACACAATACATATATAATATTTTTAAGAAAACTAAAACTAGATCATTTTATTAACATCAAACAGTATCATATTCAGGTTTTCAGGTTTGAAGAGTCTGGTAGAATTTAGTCTCCTATTTTTAAAGTGTCATGTTCACTAGAAACCAAGCCTGGGTTTCTAAGGCTGGTAGAGGGAGGTGACAGATTTCCTATCAACACTGTCAGCATCTTCTTTGGACTTTACCACTAATCTCTATTCATCTACTCATAAGGTACAAAAACTGTCAAATGATAGAGACTCTCAGTTCTACTATGTTGATACTAGTAATGTGAATGTTTACATGTATAAAAGGTATGCTTAAAAGATGCCTAAGAGAAAAAATTATCAACAACTTCTATCATTAATATGAAATTGCATATTAGCAATTAAGGTTTTAGTCTATATGTTTTGGATTAAAAAATCAGAAATGGTTATAGATATAAAGTTCAATTTCCTTTCTATGTTTATTATGTGTATGCTAGACAGATGATTCTTGAGGTGGTCGTCTAGAAACTGTGTAGTTGCCTTTTTTGTATATTAAGTACTAAAAAAATTCCTTATTCTAAAGGAGTTAAGTTTTAATTCAATACTTGCCATAACACTAAACTAAAGAATTTCTGAGTACACAGAATACAAGTTCAAACACGACAAATAGAAGTAGGGCTAGAAAGTACCAACACATTCAAGACAGAAACAATCTGGGTATTGGCTTAACTGGTAATTCCTGACAATTTCATAAAGATACTGTGAGAAATTTAAAGCAGGGTTAGGAAGATGGCTCAGTCAGTAAGGTGCTTGTCCCCAAACATAAGTTCTGTGTACAGATTCCCAGTACGTATATAAAAAGTTGGGTACAGTGCTGATTATCTGCAATCCCAGCTCTGTGAAGTAGACACAAGAGTATCTCTGGGTCTTGCTGGCCAATTGGTAAACTCCAAGTCCAGTGACAAACTGTCTCAAAAAGGAAGGATGAGAGGGAGGGAGAAAGGAAGGGAGGAAAAGATGAAAAATAACTGAGGAAAACAGCAGATTTGATCACTAGACTTTGTATACATGCATACACATAAAACACACATGCAAATACACATACACACATAAAAATTTGAAAAAGGAAAAGAACTCAGAAATCTCTATGTGAGAGGTTTTTCTAATAACACTGGAAGTTTTTCAAAGCTGTAACTGGGACCTCTATTTTAAGGCAGGGCTTTCTGCTCCTGTGACTACATGACACACTATTAATACAATTTTATCTCTCTGGTCAAGAATTTTCATGTGCTCCAGATTCATGTACTAAAAGGCTGCTGGTCCCTGGTTAAAGTCAGGGTAATTTGAATGCAAAAGGGATAACTATCATAAGGAATTGAAACTCCACATTTAGGGGGAAAACCTTACAGGTTCACAAAGCTATTTAGCAAATAAAAGGACTAAAAGCATTATTTGCTATCATTTGAAGCTGATGTTTTCAACAACTCTTACTTTGAAAATTGGTAAAGAAAAGGACCCATCATTTTGCTGCCTTTCATGGAGGAAATGTCACAGGTCAGTAGGCCACTGAAGATAAGCTCTGTGTTTACAGAACAATGCCACCTGACACAGACAGAATGAGACAATTTGGAAAATGCTATTTATAATCCCAAGTGAAAATAATGATTTAGGCAAGGATTATTAATTTGTGTTTATCTAGAGGTAAATGGTTGTTAGGAAATAACAGCTGCACAATATTAGCCCACTGTGGTGATGCATTCTTATAATGCTTGCACTCTGAAGACTAAGGCAGGAGAGAAATGGTGAATTAGAGGCCAGCTTGTACTATGTAACCGGACCCCATCCCCCAAAAGAAACAATAACACACCTCCAAATAAGAAAGTATCTGAATATTACCCAGTTGAGACAATTTCAAAGAAAGGATTAGATGGTCACAGCCCTTAAACAAGGAACTGATTTCAGTACCAACACTGGTAGTGAACCAGGTACTCTACATCTTCTGATACAGCAACATCATTAAAGATGTATTTGAGTTTAAAGTAGTTCACCTGAGAAGCGAATCATCCGTTCTTTAATTAAAACTTCTATAAGTAAATAACACAACAGAAAATCAACCAGATAAACTCAGGAAGTGCGACAATGATGACAATAGCTTTGTCTCTTCAACTAAACACCCCAGTAAAGATGGCAATGGGAATCCCACAGACATGGGTCATAAATTCATATATATAATGCCCTGGCCCATTGCCCTCAAGATAAAGTTCAAATTCTTTATACTGCCTTACATGAACTCAATCACAAATGGTGTCTTACAAACGCAAAGGAGTGTTACCACCTAGTTTTGAGGGCAAAGGCTGCAGGAAAAAAAAGTGACACTTTCTTCTTCTACCACAGCATTTCTTTCTCCTACTAAAATGTAAAGTCTCTATCACAGAACGAGCAGCCATGCACAGCTGGATGATTTCTGGGCTTCCTATTTGCTTGTTACTTTCCTAATAGTCTCCACTAGCATACACTTTAAATATCCCATTCTTTCTGCTCTGAAGAGAATTTTTCTTTGTGAAACTGCTTAACTTAAAGCAACTTAACTTTAAAAAAAATCTATACTTTTTTTTTCTAAATCTATAGAACAAAGTATGCTATGTGACAGTTTCTACCCTTAAACAAACTTCCTGTCATCTTTTCATCATGGGTTTAATTGAATTAACCCCGATACTGGAGCATACTAAAAAGTGGTCCAAACTAGGCCAAAGAAGGAATGAGAAAAACAGTGATATTAACAAAGAAAAAAAAAAAAGAAAAAAGTAAATGGCCATCAAGATGGTTCAGAGGGTAAAGGCTCCAGCACCAACCTAGATTACTTGAGTTCAATCTCAGGGATTCCCATGTTAAAAGGAGTGAAAAGATTCCAACAGGGTGTTCTATGACCTTTATATATCTGCTATGGCACACGCCCCTCATCCAATAACAAAGGAACAAAAAAATGCTAAACAAACGAATGAACAAAAGGTGGCAGCAGTGACATGTCCAAGTGAGGAGAAGTCTTCCCAGGATGGGGTCTGATGGGCAGGGTTAACTGATGCACAAAGGAAAGTCAAGGTTGTTTTTGTGGCAGACACTGAACATTCTGTGGTGTACATATGTGTGTTTATGTTCCTTTAACATTAGGATACTAAAATACATAGTCTGGGACTTATAGAATTTTAAGACAGGCTCTACACAACATGAATTACTTTAGCATGGAAGGAAAAAGCTGTGAAAGAGGGTAAGTTACCTGGAAATGAGGTTCCTTAAGTATTCCAACCAGCTCTGCCACGTTTTCATCCACACTTATTAGAGGACTGATATCTTCAAGAATTTCATTTACTAATTCCAAGTTATTATCACTGACAGCTTCTAATTTTGAATCTTCAAGTCTCTCATGAGCCTTGAAAGGACAACAATGGATTAAAGTAATATTACTGAAATTTTTTTATTTCAACCAAGATTTCACTTGTGTGTGTGTGTGTGTGTGCATATATATATATATATAGCTTTACAAGATATTACTTAGAGAGTGGGCAAGGTGGTTAGTGAGGTGAAGGCATTGGCTGCCAAGACTGATGACCTGAGTTCTATCACTGGGACCTACATGGCAGGAAAGAACTGACTCCCTGAAAGGTGTCCTCTTGACCTCCATAAGCACCGTGGCATGTACATACGCATGCACAAATATAAGAAAAAGACATTAGAGGTCTAATTTACTGAAGCCATATTTAATATTTTAATTAGAAGCAATAGATGGATTTTATAAACACACCACAAAAATGTAATGACTTTGGTCTTTATTTCTACCCTACACCATGAAATATATACATTTTTACAGTTACTGCTAAAAAAAAAAACCGAACAGGCCAGATGGTACGAAAAGAGCACATGCTACTCTCTACTCACTAACTAGATATCTATTCCTGAACTCTGGACACCGTTTCATTTCATTAAAGCAAGTAATTAAGTATAAAAAGAATAAAAACATTCATTATGAAAGTTACTATTTTTGAAATGATTTAAAAAAGAAGTGAGTCAGGTATACTGGCATATGTTTTCAATTCTGGTCCTGGGGAATCTGGGATGGCAGGTTGGCAGTTTGAGACCACTGTCTGGGCTGATCTTGAAAATGAAGCCCAGACAGACAGAACAACGATGGATGCACAAACCCAACAAACAAAACCAAAACCAAAACTCACCTGGAAACTTCAGAACCCTGAAGCTAGTATTTTTCATGTTTGAAAATTTAGCCTAGGGATATAGCTCAACGACACTGTCCTTTCTTAATGCATACTGGGTTCACTACCAAGTAATGAAAACACTAAGTAAATCATCAACAAAGAGGAAACTGTGCTTGAGCAGCTCTGAGAGGTCTCATACTCTAACTGGGAGGCAACCTCTTTCATATATCTACCTTTAAAAAATTAAGTCTTTTTTCCATGGTCCTACACTATCTCAGGTGCAAATATTTTTTAATAATAGGAGTAAACCAGGATTCTAAATTCATATTGAGAAAGAACACTACATAGGCTCCATCTTTTAGGTTTTCTTTTGACAAATAGTTGCTCATTAATTCTAAAGACAGGAAAAGGGTAACTACTGAGAGTCAATTCAGAAGACCATGTACGATGACAGATTTTACACTGATATCTTATAATTCACTTCTTTAAATGCGAAATAGAAATCCTATTTCCTGTATCATATTACTGTGATGGTCTCCATGTTGTATGTATCACCACGCAGAATAGTTGCTTGAGAATCCAAACACAACATTTGTAATTTGATAACACTTGTAAATGATGATCATTTTGTTTACATAAGTTTTTTTTCAACGTGATTTGCAAAAATGCATTTTTTTCATGAGACAAATTTCACTTTCCCCCTAAGAGACAGTTTCTATGCTGCTAGAGTGACCTTGAACTGTGAACTCAAGAAATCTTTGTCTCAGTATCTATCTTGAGTAGCTGGGACTGCAGGATGTGCCATCACATCCAGCAAAGTAAACTCTTGGAAGAGACTTTAAGAAAGACCTCAGAAGAAAACATTTTTAGAGTTATGAAATAGATTGATAAAGAAACAGCAGCTCTGATTAAACATAAGATGACATGTCAAAAGACCTAAGATGATATAAATAAACAATTCTATTTTATTTGGATAAGAAAAAAAATACAAAAACGAGAAAATGCAAGAGTAAGAAGAATGGGGAAGTTTTCAGTTTTCTGCAGGCCTCTTCCAGCTGCTGCTTTAAGTATGCTCTCTCAAGACAGGGGTGCCATTTCTTCTGTCCCATCCCTTACCGTAGGTATTTGGTACTCCACGGCTTTGAAAGATCACCTGCCCCTCTGACTTGCATGTTTTTGCTCTTAGGAAGAGCTGTAAAAATTATGTGTTCTCTAGGACACAGACAATGACCAGTTTACTACATTCAAGCACTAAGTCAACAGGTTTTAAGTGTTCTCCTGTGTTACTCACATAATTAATATATATAAAGCTATGTATAGATTGCTTCAGTTCAGGCCTTCAGTACAGAAAAGACTGCTGACCTGACTATTCATAATACAGCTCCCTTCCTCTCCTCTCCGTATGCCTTTATTACATATTAGGCAATGCTAAGTGGTAACATGATAAAAACCACAGGTAGATAAGGCAGTGTCTCCTATGAGGTGGAACTTGAAAGTAACTCAAACATACCCAACATTCCTTCACTTCACAGATTGACTTTATGGAAATAAAGCCTCTTAATATAAAATACAGAAAGTTTTAAGGAAGTGTTTTAGTGAAATTATGGCTATAGTAAGATTAATATGGAGAACCAATTTCTAAAATGAAAATATTCAAGATCAATTTAATAGCCAGGCATGGTGACACATGCCTGTAATCAAAACTCTTGAGAGTGGAAGCAAGAAGATCAGGAAGATCAAGGCCATTTTTAGCTATATAGTGAGCCTGAGGGCAACTGGGAACATGAGAATTTATCGAAACATTAACAAAAAAAATCAATTTCATTTTTTCCTAGAACAGATATACAGGACCACAGTTTTTTTAAAAATAATTAATTAATTAATTAGTTTGTTTATACAAATTTCCACTTCCTCCCCTCCTCCCCATACCCTCCCCTCCCCCCCGCTCCCTCTCCTCCCCCCTCTCCAGGACCACAGTTTAATATGTAGTTATTAAAGCTCTGAGGCACTGTAGGAAAAAAAAAATTTGAGACCATTAATTTACTTCAACATCAAAACTTATGTAATAATTTCAAGGGTTAAGTGCCAACTTGAACTTAATTCATCAAACTAATAGGGTCACAGGAAACCCTAAAAACCAGTTAAGAGCTGGTCACAGTAGAGCACACCCCCACGGGAGGCTAGCCTGGTCTACACAGCAAATTCCAGGTAGGCAACAAAGCTATAAGGTAAGACCTTCTATTAAAAAAAAAAAATTAAAGGGGCAAATGAACCACATGTTTGATTAAATGAGTCTTTTCTTTTAAGAAATGGCGAATTAATTAAGGTTACTATTGGAATGATGAAACACCATGACTGAAAGCAACTTGGGGAGGAAAGGGCAGATGTTCTGCTTATATACCCTAAGAGTCAGGGTCCTTTGAGAGAAGCCAAGGCAGAAACTCAAACAGGGCAGGAACCTGGAGGCAGGAGCTGATGCAGAGGCCGTGGAGGGATGCTGTTTATTGGCTTGCTCCATACGGCTTGCTCAGTCTGCGTTCTTATAGAACCCAGTACCACCAGCCCAAAGGTGTCTCCACCCACCAAGGGCTGGGTCCTCTCCCATTAACCACTAATTAAGAAAATGCCCTATATAGGCTTGCCTACCGCCTGAACTTATGGAGGCATTGTCTCAATTGAGGTTACCTCCTCTCAGGATGACTCTAGCTTGTGTCAAGTTGAAACAAAACTGTTCAGGACAGATGGCATTAAGTCTCAGCTTGAAACATGTAAGTTTCTAAATGGTCAAAAGATTCATTGTAATAGTTCTTGGAAACACAGGTCACTTCTTTGTAGCAACTGACAGGCTAATTCTAAAATTCATACACAACTGCAAGGAACCCAAGCATGCCAAAACAAACAAACAACAATCCTGTCTCTGCGCTTTCATTATTTGGGCTACAAATTCATGAAAAAAGCCGTTTTTCTGAAGCATTTTAGTCACCAGCACAGGCCGGGGCTGCAAAAGAAGCCAGCTAGGCTTCTCTCTCTCTCTCTCTCTCTCTCTCTCTCTCTCCCTCCCTCCCTCCTTCCCTTCCTCCCTCTCTCTTCTGATGATATGGGATTCCCATATATATCATATGATATGAATATGTTTTATTACTATTGGTTAATAAAGAATGTTCTTTGGCCTATGGCAGGGCAGAATATAGTTAGGCCAGAAAACTAAACTGAAAGCAGGGAGAAAGAAGGTGAAGTTTTGCAGAAGTCATGTAGATGCTGAAGGAGAAAGAAGCCAGAACCTTATCAGTAAGCCACAGCCAGTACACAGATTAATAGAAATTGGTTAATTTAAGATATAAGAGTTAGCTAGAAATATGCCTGAATCATTGGCCAGTGTCTGTGATTATTCAGGTCTGGGCATCAGGGAAATCAAAGTACAGTTTCTGTTTACAGGTTCTCCCTCAAACACGGTGGAAGGTGAAGGTTGTCAGCCAAGGTTGTTCTTTGCACTTGGCACGCTGATGCTTGTGCTCACACACATGAATGTGCACACGTGTCCAGAAGTCCATGCATACACACACAATGTAAAATAAGGAAACTGAAAAGATGACCTACTGATTAGGAGAAAATACTTGTAAATTATTTATCAGATAAATTACCTATATCTGAGCCAGGGATGGTGGCTCACACCTTTAATTCCAGCACTCAGGAGGCAGAAGCAGGCGGATCTCTGAGTTCACAGCAATAGAAACCCTAACAACCTAAACAGACCTATAACAAAGAGGATATTGAAACAGCAATAAATAGCTTTCTGTTTAAAAAAATACAAGTCCTGATGAATTCAGAGAATTTACCAGAATTTGAAAGAACAGTAGCTAATCCTTCTTAAACTCTTAAAAAAGAGAAAGAAAAAAGAAAAAGAAAGAAAACAGAAGGAACACTCCCAAACTTGTACTATGAGGATAGTATTACTGTAATACTCAAACCAGATAAATAACAAAACAAAACTACACAGCAATAACTCTGAAGATATAAACTCCTCAGTAAATATTAGCACACTGAATTACAAGCACATATCAAAAAGATCAATGCAGTGTTGGTTCAACATATGAAGTCAAAATATATAATAATTCATACAAATGGACTTATACAAAAATCACATGATCATCTCAATAGAGCCAGAAAAAGTCTGTGACAAAATCCAACATGCCTTAATGATAAGAAGTCCTAGACAGAGTAGGACTGGAGGGAACATACCTCAACATAATAAAAGTTGAATTATCCCCACTCCTTTTCAATATAGTGCTGCAAGCAACAGCCAGGATGAGACAAGAGAAGGAAATTAAATGGCTACAAATATAAAAATAAGAAGTCAAATTATTCCTATTTGCATATGAATGATATTATTATAAGTTATTACTGGTTTTGTCTGTTGTAATTGCTAATCTTAAGAATTTTAAAACTGGGGCAAGAGAGATGGCTCAGCTGTTAAGAGCAATGTCTACTTTTGCAGAGAACCTGGATTCAATAACCAGGATCCACATGGTGGTTCAGAAACATCTGTAACTCCAGTTCCAGGAGTCCAACACCGTCTTCTGGTTTCCTTGGGCAGGAAACATGCATGTGATGTACAGACATACAGGTAGGCAAAACACTCATACACATAAAGTAAAATTAATTTTAAAACAAACAGAAGACTTAAATCTATGCTTGTCAGGAATGCAATTCTGTAATTCTTTTATCAAAATATTTTTATATTCAAGGTAGCATTAGTGTTTTCTTCTTTTTCCCTTTTTTGGAAAAATTATGTAAAATTAGTATTATTTCTTCATTAAATGTTTGGTAGAATTTACGGTAAAGAGACGTGGAGCTTCTTTTATACGATGCTTTAAGCTTCAAACATTCAAGTTTGAGAACTAGATACAGAGCTACTGAAGTTATCTCTTATGTGAGACTTCTCTTTTAAGAAATTAAGTTACACTGTTGTTGTCACAGTCATGGTCACAATGTTTACATTTAAAAAGAAATGTTAAGCCTGGTAGTGGTGGTGTCACATGCCTTTAAACCCAGCACTTGGGAGGCAGTGGTAGGGTGGATATTCCAACATGGTCTACAGAGTGTGTTCTGGGAGAAACCCTGTCTCAGAAAAAAGATAAATGTTTACTTTATATGTGTGGGTATTTTGGCTGCATGAATGTCTATGGACCACATCCGTGTCTCATGCCCAGGAAGCCAGAAGAGGGCATCGGATCCTCTGGAACTAGCGTTTACAGAAGGTTGTGAACAACCATCTACGTGCTGAGAATCAAACCCAGATCTCTCCAGCTCCAGGTCATAAATTTATTATTATCCTTGCAACAATGTCTGTGGATCTGTTGTGGTGTCTTTTTTTCTTTTTTTTAACCCAGGGCAGTAATTTTTGTTTAGTTGAAGGTATATTGACTTTACTAATATATTATCGTAAGTTGTAATAATTTTTGTGTCACATTTTTATTGCTCACTTCTTTTTGTTTATTTACACTGCATTTTCCCATTTGGGCATTGCTATTTTCTAACACAGAAATTTTCTCTTTTGGGTTTGTAGCACATTATAGGTTCTGTCATGCATTTGCAATTCCTTACTCAGTTCAAGGTATTTTGTTTGTGATTTCTCTCTTCACTCATGGTTCTTTAAGTCATTCTTACTAGTTTATTGTCAACTTGACACAAACTAGAATCCTCTGGGAGCAAAGAACCTCAATTGAGAAAACGCCTCCCTAAGTTTGGCCATGTGGGGTGTTTCCTTGATTGATGGGCTGACATGGAAGAGTCAGACGACTTGCAGTGGCGCTGCCTGGGCAGTCATCCTGGGCTAAGAAAGCCAGGGGGAACAAGGGGTTCTCTGAGCCCAAACACTCATCTATTTTCTGATTTTACACCATTTCTACTTTCTCTCCTTATTCTTTTTTGGGATGGGAAATACACATGTTAGAGCTTGGGTGTGCATCTCACATACAAGAACGTTCACTGTTCTATATTTTGATTGGACTTTCCATGAGTTTCAACTGGGGTTTTTTCAGTTGCTCTATTTTCTAGTTTTCAATACTTAAACCCATCAAGTGAGATAATTTCAGATATTGTATCTCAGTGTTAAAATGTCAATTAGATTTGATTCACATTCTCTAATGTCAGTACTTTACATGTCTTCTCTTCTCGTTTATTAAGATGGGCTAATGCCATGTTCAAGTCATTACTTATAAACTCTACTAAAAGAATAATTCATGGTAACACACTATTTTTCTGCTGATTAGTCACATAATCCTGCCTCTCAGCATGCCTAGCTTCTCTTCAATTTCTTGTTGCAATGAGAGAAGTGGATTGCTGTGACTGAGAAACAGATGTTCCTCCCTCACCGCAAACTCTTTATGCTGCATGAGGATTTAACTACCACTGCTTTTATTTACTAAAAATCTGCTTGAATGTTGGTTATCGTTGATCCATTCTGGTGTTTTTTTTTTCATCTTTTGTGTACCTATGATGTGTGTGTGTCAGAGAGAGAGGCTAGAGGGGGACGGACAAGAGAGAACAAGCACACAAGGAGTGTGTGAGTCTAGGTATGACACCCACTGTTCCACAGAGAAAGAAAAGAGACCAACTTGGGTATCAGTCCTGCCTTTCACCTTATTTAAAACAAAGTCTCTTTGTTTCTTTTTTGCTGCTTCTCAAACATGCACACCACCACCACCACTGCTACGCCGCCACCGCCAGGCTTTAGGTGGGTCTGGAAGACTTAAATTCAGGTATACATACGTACACAGCACTTTACCCTCTGAATTATCTGCCCAGTCTTTATTTTTAATCAAAAAGAGTACAGTTGCTCCTTATGTTTTCCAAAGTATATCAACCATTTCAAACGCTAAGAATGGTAATCTGGTTACTTTCTGAAGGTCCATCATAGGTGGTACAAACCAATCCATTTTCCACTCACAGAACTTGTTGGGAATAAATACACATAAATAGCATCACTCTGCATTAAAATAAATAGAGCACATAACTTAAAAGGCAACGTTAGAATACCTTTCCTAACCCTTAGTCCTATTATTTACTCTAGTGTATTTTAAAGGCCTTAGGAAACTACAAGCATACTGTAAAGGCCTTACATGTTGCTAAGATGTCTAAATCTACAATAAAAGCCTTAAATTAAACATGAGAACAGGGACAAAAGTGATTCACAAACAATAAAAAGTGACAATCAACAGTTTAAGATAAGGGAAGAGTAAAGCAACTACCAATAAGAGGTCACGGCAAATCTCTTTTAGTGACTTCAGCAGGTCCTGAAGCTGTGGCTCACACAGTTAAGTTGTTAAGGTACAGAACAAGAAGTCAGAATGGGAAGGTAAATTATTCCCTGTATATTATGAAAACACAGCAATAATAAATATGTAAGTTATGAAAATTATTTTTACACATGACCTCATCAGAAATAACTGTGATGAATGAGCCACATTAATTCATATTTACTAATGGAAAAGGTAAAAGGGTTTTCAGAAGCCTTAAAACACAACGAAAAACAATAAACAAACAAAAAAAACCCCACACAGGTAAGATAAGCATTCTAGCAGTCAATGCAAAACATAAAGGAGGGGGTGGATCTATGAAAGAGAGGCTGGAGGATGACCATCAGAATGGCTTTCCAAAAGCAAAACAACCTGGAACAACTTCTAAGGTAAGAGCCAGCAGGGAGTGAAACAGGCAATAAATATACTGAGCTTCCTTGATCTTCAAAATCAGCATTATTAAGAAACTGCATTAAAATAAAACAGAACTACAAATATGGCTGTAGAAGGTGTGTATTAAATGAGTTAATAAAGTTTGCTCCAGAGTTGATTAAGGAAACACATCTAAAATATTAAGGTTATGGGGGAAAAAAATTCTAAAATTTCAAAAATAAAATAAAAAAAGAACTAAATAAAAGTGATTAAAAATTTAAATGATAAACAGGTATGAGTTACAATGTAAAAGAAAAAAAAATCAACACCTTGCTGGTAGAAAGTGAAGACAGAACCAAAATCCCTTTCACAAGCTCCAGCTCAACTCTGTTCTCTTATGGACTACCTAGCTTTAAGGTACTGGATCAAAAGCTAAAAGTCATCCTATTTTCTATGGGCAGAATAAAAAAAGTAAGAAAACCTTATCTTTGCATACATTAATATTTCATTATGTGACAAGTGTTATTTGCTAACTATTCAGAAAGGTGTACCACCTAAATTCCACATCAGTGATCACTGAAAAGACTTCCATAAAAACAATTTTCAAAGTCCGTCAGTAATCTTATGAATAAACTAGCATACCTTAGCAAGTGATTTCACAATAGGATTCTCCATAATCCCCTTGAGAAAAATCAGGTCTATTTCTTCTGCTCCTGTAGATGAGGGCAGCTCCGTAAGGTTTTCTAAAACTTGCTGCATTTCTGATGAGATAAAAGCCAGATAAGAATTAGTGAACACATAAATAAAAGAATACTCAAACTCCAGACCATTATGAATAAGAGAATAAGAGTGTAAATAAAAAAATTAACAAAACTCTTCTGAAAAATCCATTTAAGAAAATAAATTGTTTCACATTAATTACTGTCTCATGAACTGGATGAATGTTTATATACAGTTTTGATTTTATAAGACTACACTTAATACACACAAAACTCATTTGCTTTTTTTCTCAAATTTGAAGATACTAAAAAGAGAAAATAAAAATTTGAAGACTTATACAAAGTATAGAGATAAAATAACACACACACACACAAATTCCCATAAGTCCAAATCAGATCACTGGTAAATTCCACCAAACATCTAAAAACATAATTAAAACTAAAACTTGACAAATTTTTCAAATAATATAAGCACTTTCTTCTTTGTATGGAAGTGGGAGATGAGGGAATTGAGAGAGGTGTTCATTATATAGCTCTAGATGGCCTGGAACTCAAGAAATCCACCTCCCTCTGCATCACTATGCTAGGCAAAAACACTTTTGCCAATTTATTCTGTGAAATCAGATACTTTGGTTCCAAGCCTAGACAAATGTAACTCTTAAGAAAATTACAGCTAATATCCCTTAGAAATAGACATCTACAAATAAAACACTAGCTATGTAAACTAGAAACATATAGAAAGGATTATACATAAATGCCAAATATAAATTATCCCAGGAATGAAACATGAAAGCCAATCAATATTCTAGAACAGAACCCAAGGACATTTCAAACAGATACACAAGAAAGTGTTTGACAAAATCTAAAACATCGCATGTGAAAACAAAATACTTCCAAATCCCTCTCTTCCTCCTAAAAGCATTAACAAAGCTTATAAAATAAATTCCTCACCCAGCTAAGGCTGGACATTAATAAAGAATAATAAGTTTCTATGTATTTATTTGGGAGCTGGGTGGCAGGCCCCAAAGAGCAATAAGTAATAAAAATATCTACACTTTCCCACTCCCTAGCAGGACCTATTTCAGATTTGTTAATCATCTCTCCTAATCAGATCTGTAAACAGGTTTTTGTTTTGTTTGGGGAGACTTGTTACTCAAGCCTTTTTTCCTTGCTATTTTCTAACTTTTTTTCGACCTGGAACTCACTATGTAGACCAGGCTGGCCTCAAACTCACAGAGATCCACCTAGGTCTAGGTAGAAAAATAAAGGAGACTACACACCTTCGACCATTTTTAAGGTCTGCATACATTGCTACTGCTTTTGATCATATGGAATATTAAAACACTAATAAAAGTACCAATCTCCCAGATTTTAAAGGGGGAATCCCCGTCTCCCCATTTGGAAGCTCAAATTTTATTTATTTATTTTTATTTATTATTCCTTTTATTTTTGAGATCATAATTACATCTTGATAGTATAAAAGCTATCAATCATCCTTAACTTTTACTTACCCTGTGCTTTCTTTTTTCTCTCCCTTTTCCTCATTTCTTTTCTTTCTGAGTCAAGGTCTTACTACGAAGTCCTGACTGGCCTTAAACTCACTATGCAGATCTGAATGGTCTTGACTTTTGTTTCTGCTCCCTGAGTACAGAAATACAGACCTGTGACACCAGCTTAGCTTTTAACTTGATGAAATTTTTAAACAAAAGATATAAATATAATTTAATTTTTTTTTAAAAAAAATATGAGACATGGTTTCTCTGTGTAGCGCTGGCTGTCCTGGAACTCACTCTGTAGACCAGACTGGCCTCAAAACTCAAAGAGATCCACCTGCTTCTGCTTCCCAAGTACTGGGATCAAGTATGTGTGTGACCATGGCCAGCTACTTGATGAATTTCTAATAAAAGTGTAATACATACCTCTTTTCAGCTACATTCTAAAGACACACAAACAGATAAAGAGGAAGTGTGAGAACAATTAACAAAGGGTAACAACGAACTGACCCCAACTGACAGGGATTCTGTCCTTTCTCTCCAGTATTACAGACAACAGAATCTGAACTGTTTCTTACAGATGTGTCCTGTGCTATTTTACGGTTCTGAACAGAAACAGGGGTGGGTTTTGTTTTATCATCGTTTTAGTCCTCTCATGCCCAAACTTCCAATAAAGTACTTTCATGTTTTAAAACAAAACAAACTCTAACAGAAGAGAGAGAACACTCCAAAGTAAAGTATGAATTAAACCAGACATAGTTAACAACAGGAGAACGCTAGTGTATGCAAGTGCTTCCTGTATGAAATAAGCTCTGCTATGGGGGAGCCTTGAGAAGTTGGGCCAGACACCAGCAAAGCAAGGAGGTGTCCCCAGTTTATTCAGATTTCAGGCAGAAAGGAAAGTCTCAGAGTTCAGAAGAAGCTATCTGAACATTCTAATCCTTCATAATCCCTGAAAGAGGTATCTCTTATTCAGGTGTAGAAAATAAAACTTTTATCTGAATGAGAGAAAAGTTAGTACTTAATCTAGTCCTCCAGTCTCAAATAAGAACAAATCAAGAACTAGCATTGAGGAAATCCACATCGATGAACAAGAGGCACCAAATTCAACAAACATAAGCTCTAAACTCCAAAGAGCCACTGAGATGGGGTGGGGGATGGGTAGCAGTGGGGGAGGAAATGGAAAAAGACAGGGAGCTGGGGCCCTAATCAAAAATGCAACAAAATAAAGCTGAGGGAAAGTCTTAAAAAGAGCAAAGGGGTTGCAAATATAGCTCAGGAGTAGAGTGCTTGTCAAGAGGCATTTATGGCCTGGGTTTGATTCCTACCAAAAGAAGGAGGAGAAAACAGAAGGGAAGGGTAGAGGGAAGGAGACAGAAAATATAAGAAAACAGAAAACCACTGTGAATCAAGTAAAAGCTTTCAATGGGACAAAGGGGTCTGAAGGGAGGGCCAACGGGTGAAGGACTGGGAGGGCAAAAAATAATCAATAGATGTTAAAAAGAAAAACAACAACAAAAAATTCTTTAAAAGAAAAACAGCTGGGCAGTAGTGGTGCATGCAAGCCTTTAATCCCAGCACGTGGGAGGCAGAGGGACAACTAGGGTTGTTGCACAGAGAGAATCCCTGTCAAAGAAAGAAAGGAAGGAAGGAAAGGAGGAAGGAAGGGAGGAGAAAAAAACACGGAAACACTTTGAATGTCACAAAAATGGAAAATCAGAAGTGCAAAGGGTGAGTGAATAAAAGGAGAAATAGAAATCAGGAAATCAGTCAGTTACATCACAATTAAAAAAATACTAATAAATAGCTATTTCATTATAGATTTTCTGAGTGACTATAAATCAAATCAACAGAGAAAATCAGTACTTTCCCTAAATAGTAGTAGCAGCCATTTAAAGGTAAAATAAGATGTTCAGAAATGATTAAATCATAAAAGTATATTATATATGTCATTTCAAATATATTGAAGGCAATTTCTATAGTAAGAATCACTAACATAAAAAGATGCCAATTCTTTAGAAAAGAATGAAACATAATAAAAATCCAATAGGATTTTTAACTTAAAAAATTTACCTGAAATAGAAAGCACGGAAAAGAAGCTAATACATCTTTAGAAGCATAAATATATGGGGTTCCCTGAGCTGTCAACCACAAAACACTAGGAAGTGTACAGCCCTGTCACAGCAATATTTAAATTAAGTACCCAAATGAAATTCAGCACACACACAAAAAGACAGAACATAGTAGATTGATTACTTAGCTTTATCACTGTGTCTATTCCCTTCAAAATTCCCTCTAGAATACCAGCAAATTATTAATAAGAGTCCAAAAAAAAGATGAAGAAGAATGGCTGAGGAGAAAACATCAGGCCCACATAAATATAAGCTTGAAACTGGTAGAAGCAGAAAACTCAGACAAAGGAACAAGCCAATGATGCCTCCTCTGGCATTATTTCTAGAATCTACACACTCTTTCTCCTCTGCCTGGCAATGAGTCTTAGCTGTAATAGCATCCTGCCCAGACTGTCCCTGCATTCCGCCTATAACTGTTAGCTTCCCCTCACTGTTACAAACACCTGAGACAAGCGACTTCACAGAGAAAACAGCTATTCGGCTCACAGTTTTCATACAGGACCATTGCCCCACTGCTTTGGGACTGTAATGGCATACCAGAGCAGTGCAGAACTGTTTACCTCAAAGCCAGGACAAGAGAGAAAGGGACCAAGGTATCAGAACTCCTTTTGAGGGCATGCCCTCAATAAAAATCTCCCATGAGGCCCTACTTCTTAAAGGTTTTGCCACCACCCAATAGCACCATGGGGTGGGAACTTTTGGGGGGTATTCCAGATCCAAACCATGGCAATGGCCCAAAAGGAAGTAATTAAAATGTAAATTTTAAGGCTTTTAAGCCTTTTAATACATTGCTGGATTCAAGCTACACCAACCTTTGTAGCCGTGACACAAAATCTTCTGTTTGCCACCGTTTATAGACAACCGCCTTTGCACAGCTAATTCACACACCTTTCAGAAGCAAAATTTCAACCTCACTGGTTGCTCCAATTAGAATTTTTCTTAATATACATATATTCATAGTACTCTGCAATTCTGACAAACCCATATAATTATATGTGATTTTGTTCAAAGCACAGTTTCTTGTAAAATTCTGAGAAATGCAGAAACCCTACCTGTCTTGTTCCTATCTGAATCCCAAAGAACTAAGATGCAGTTTAGTACATTAAAAGTTCTCAATGATGCATTTTCAGTCATAAAAATGGAGCATTTCAATGCATCTTAACAACCATTTTCCAAACTATGTATTTAATCCCATGAATTATTTCATAAGGTATGACACAAGTGGTGTGTTTAACTGTTTGTATTACTGAAGTGGAATAGTGAACAGTAATATTTTCTACTGTTATACTTCCAAGCATTCTAGAACACCATGTAAAGCAATTTTAATAAAGTGAATAATACTTAACTACCTATATTCTTTGCTATAAGTTTCACAACAGCACTTTACAAAAGTGTTTCTACTCAGTTTAGAACTGTA